TGTGGGCATCTGTACACTGTGGCAACACATTGATGCAACCTTTTTAAATACTAGGCTCCTCCAAAAGTGCCGTACACAACTTTTATCACGTTCTTCTAAGTCATGGGTCCTCAAACTAAGGCTTGCGGGCCAGAATGCCCAGTTAACTAGCCCGCCCTAGAGGTTTTGCTTTCACCATGTGCTTGTGCAGGTGCATGGTTTACTCACGAGGAGGTCGTTTTGGACTCACTCGGAGAAAACGATCTCCTCACGAGCAAGCTGGCACCTCGCCATGCAGCCCCTCCATCCCCAACTCACGTGTGTGCGCACACACATGCCCCACCCTCTTACTGGCCCACGCCCCCCCCCCTCCAGCACCGCCTTGGTGGCCCGCACCCACCACTGGCACCTGTCAACTGCCCCCATATTAAAAAAGTTTGAGGACCCCTGTTCTAAATGCAACATATGCAAACAAAAAACATGTTTGCTGCTCTGTAATATATAAAGCAAACCCTATGATATTTTCATGCATCCATTTTTAAAAATTCAACCTCAGCTATTGAGCAGTATAAAAATGACATAAAGAAATAAATGAATGGTCTCTGCATACCGTTGGCAGAAAGCAGAGGCACTCAAGCCAACTTTTGGTGTTCCACTCACTCTATGAAAGTTTTCCCAGAGATGTATAAAGATGCACACAAAGAGATGCATGCAAAAGAAGCAAGTGTGAAATGCACTGTTGAGCCATTTGTCTAATGCAGCTACATTCTCCTTCAGAACTTGAACTTCTGAAACAGCAAATCAGGGATCTGGAAAAAACTCTGGATGATTTCAAAGCTGTCACCAACCAAATCCAAAGAGGTGAGAATGGGAAAGTTTGGTAATTTTTGGTCAAAAATGGCTAAGACTGGTGGACTTTAGATTCAAATTTTCTGCTGTTGATGCAATTAGACTTTATCACAGAGCATAGTGCTATCTTTCAACAGACAGTACAGAAAAATCATGAATTTAACAAAAAGAGTGTTCTTCATTTTCATCATATTGGCAAGAACATTCAGTCTGAAGAAATCGTTTCTGTTATTACCACTCTGCTATCTATTTTTGGTATACTTTTAGATCTAGGCTGAAGAACAAACATATAGGAAGGGAACAGACAGACTTTTTCAAACTAATTGTAGTTGAGGGGACTCCATGGAGATCTTCCTCCAAAGGTGAGCTACCAGATTGATAACATAAAATACCAGACCATGTTTTTTCTGAATTAAAATCGGAAGGCCATTTCATGGGTACACCCTGAAAAGGTTACTTTGGGAATGTGCTAAGGTAAGAAGGATCTTGGAAGGTCCACCCATTATGTTTCTCCACGAATAACTAGACTGAACATCATTCCAGCTATGGAAGGGTTAGGGTCAAAACAGATGTTCCTTTGAAGACGTAGCAATAGCTACCTTTGTGTCCCACTACAGACTTGGTGCAGAGGGCCAGCCTCAGTCAGGTGTTGAGCGTGATGGCTCAGGGACCTTTCTTACCCCTACTGTAGGGATAAGGATGGGAGGAGGGCAAACTATGCCTGAAAATTTATCTCTCCAAACAGTGGTCCAACTGCTCTGAGCATTCAGTAATATAAATTGGGGGAGCATAAGGTGGGCGGGAGAATACACATTAGGACCACAGCAGCAGGGAATGGGACTAGGATTTGGTTTGGGGAAGAGTCACTCCTTTCCCCCTCTCACCACTGCACTGCCCTATTTCAGTTGCAATTTTGGGGACAGCAAGTACCCCAGTGAGGTAGGGGGATCCCCTCAACCTCAGAAACTGCCCACCCACCAAGGTTTTTAGAGGTCACTCAGTCAAGAACTAGGGAAGTATCCCATGAGTGTTTGGACCAAAAACATGTTGGGAGTTGAAGATTTTTTTTTCTGGTCTGACCATGCATGGATCACTGCAGCTTTACCCTCTCTCACGAACAAGGACCGAGCAACAGGAAATGCCTCGCTTAATCTATTCATCCAGCAAATAAATGATATAATGATGCTATTTCCTCCTTGAAGTCTGGCTGGAGCAGTTGCGCGCACACACACACACCTCTATTCCTTTTTGATTTACCTGGGGAACAGTGGGGAGAAAAAGTCAACAGCGAATCACATAGAAAATTTAGATTGAATAAATGTAGTTTACAAACAACAATATGTATCGATTGTTTTGATTTTGTAAGTTTCCTTTATTGAAAATTAAGTATTTGTCAATTCTATGCCTTCTTAGTAGTGACCATGATATATGCAAACTCCCCCCAAGTATACTTCTCTCCCTCTCCCCCCCCCCCATTCCCTCCCCCTTCTTCTCTCCCCCTTTTTTTTTTCTTTTTTCCTGGCTTGGCTTGGCTTGGCTTGGCTCGGCTCGGCTCGGCTCGCCTCACCTCGTCATCGTGCCGTGCCTTGCTTTTGTGGTGCCAGGGTGGGGGGAACAGCATCCAACACCAAATCTGTGGGGAGGGAAATTGTCCTCTGGTTTGCCTAGTCCTGGCCAAAACAGAGTCTAACTTGCAAAAACACTACAATTTTATCTTCTAGTTCTCCTTATCCCCAATGGGGTGATTGCTGGGAAAAAAATATTCAAAACGAACGGTTTGACAGGTGATTATGATGCTGCCACTGCCAGCTGCTCGCGCATGGGAGGGACACTGGCCATGCCAAGAAACGCTGCTGAGAACAGTGCGATCCAACAAATCGTGGTCTGGCATAACAAAAGAGCTGTTCTTGGGATCACCGACAGGAGCACAGAAGGCCGGTTCGAGTATCCGGATGGCAATGCCATAAGCTACTCCAACTGGGCACCGGGAGAACCGAATAGTGCTGGCAATGAAGACTGTGTAGAAGTGCATCCCGATGCCAAATGGCATGATAGAAGCTGTTTTCTGGAGTTCTTAATCTTGTGTGAATTTTAGAATCTGCAGCCTGTTCGTTTCTTTTGGCCAAAATGGGATTTCCACACTGCTAGTGGCAGCATGGACAGTTGCAGCCATAGCAAATGTCCAATGCATTTCCTTTTCTGTATCTTACTGTGTATAAAAACATTGCATGGATAAGCAAAAAGTGTTCGGCTATAGATAAATTACTTGCATCCCCACCAACATTTGCAATTTGGACTTGATTTTTGCATTATTATCTAACTCATTATCTAGCATCTAATTAATGCATTTACCTGAGTGATAAGGGGACAGCTGTACAGTGACAAGATCCTTCTGACAAGAAACTGATGAGGGCCATAGCTCAAGGTTGTGGAGCATCTGCTATCCATCCATCCATCCATCCATCCATCCATCCATCCATCCATCCATCATCCCAACTTCAGTCTACATCAAAATATTTGATAGTCGCTCAGTAAAAATTAGTGGGGTTGGTGGCATATTTTACTGCAAGTATTCTCATAAATATTTTCTGTGATTTTGCTTTTTTGCCAACCATCTCATGAAGGCAAAGTGTCCTGAAAAGCCAGGCTCCATTAATTTATATCGAATATGGTTGTTATACAGTCTCCTCTCCAAGGAGCTTGGGGTGACACACACTGTTTTATCCTTGCCGCTATATCCTCACAACTGCCCTCTGAGAAAAGTTGTGCAGAAAGAGAACTTCTGGCCCAGGATGATGGTGATGATGATTTATTTCATTTCTATATTGCTTTGTGGCCAAAGCTCTCTAGGCAGCAGTGAGCATCATGGCCAAATGGTGCTTTGAAGCAGCATCTCCCTGTGTCTTGACCACACTCATTCATCTAGAGGCTTCCTGGGCACATCATGGCAGAGAATCTGGGAGCATCCTTACTCCTTCTGTGTCAAGACTGACCCAAGCATTACAGAGCAGTCTGGGTCCACTTCTGAATCAGAGAGGGATGACTTAGATGTTCGTATTTTGAGTGGAACCTCAAGGCTTGGGAACCCTCCAATTGGTCCCATAGCAATGGGGAGTGAAGCTCCAGATCTGGCCGAGCTGCCAAATAAGGCACCATGCACATTGAGGACTTAGTGCTCAAGGTGGTGGAACCTGACAAAAAGAGGATTCTGAGAAGGAAAAGAGGCTGAGTACATCACCCGCAGGGAGACATCCAATCAAGAGATGGGCATGGCAATCCACCTGGAGACATTCTCCGCAATTATGGGCTAGAGGTTCAGGTCAAGAATGGTGCTCCGGAGAACTAACCCTGTCCAGCAGTCAACCTGATTGGTGAAGTAACCAATTGTTTGCAGTACAGATTTTAAGTGCTGCCATTATTTTGCAAGTCTTTGGAATGCATGGCTGTGTAATCTAATCTATGAAAATAAAAACCTGAATGGAAAAGGGCCTCTGAGGTTGAATTGCCTGAGGTAGTCAAAACACTCCCTTAGGATGATGTGTTTACCTTTATATTGAAATCCGGAGGTACATTCAGTATTGCACAGAGGTGTTCTTGTTCTGATCCAGGCATAATAAAGTAAGGTCAACACAATGGCTTAATTTTCAAGACATACTTTCAAGACATACATAGGGTGGCCACTTAGGAATTGGCAAAAGTGATAACAAAAGAGGATGCTGATTTGCATACCTGTTCATATGTTATTCCACATATATACATGAGGATTTAGACATTTTTATTATTTAGATAGAAACACTGTACCTGTATTCCTGTTTGCTCTCTCGACAGGTACTGCAGAATGCAACTCTTCCTTCTGATCATTCCTTACCTTTTAAAAAGTTTTGAAAGGGAAAAGAGGATGGGATATAGATTAGATTGATGGACGGATGGATGTTAGGAAGTTTATACTAAGAAGCAGGAGGGTGAAGGTCAAAATGTCAGCCTAGGAAATAAGTGTCATAAAGCTCTACAGAATCGAAAGATAAAGAAGATAAAGGAACTCAAGAAACTGAAACTTAATTTTCAGAAATGAATCAAAAACTACCATTGTGATTGGTTGAATTGAGGGAACTGTGTGATGGGGCAAAAGAGAACAGCCAGAAACAGAAACTCAGTGAAAACGTGATAAAAGGAAAGGAAGAGTTCCAACTGCTGGAGTTAAAATAAAGGCAGAGACTGCAGCAAGGACTGTAAGATCTTGCTTGGATCAAGATATCTGTATAAAGCTTACGGTCTGGACAGGTTAGTGGAATGTGTTTCTCTCTTTGTTTTTCCACATACTGTGTGTGTGAATGTTGATTCTAAAACTTTTTCCTATTGACATTTTTCCTCAGTTAGCTTCAAACCTCATTGTTCAAAATTTGCTGCTCCTTTTTTAAGGGGTGCCCACATTATCTCTAACAGCCAAACACACGTTATCTAAGCAAATACCTGAGACCTGTGGAGATCTGAGCCTGTGATAGATGCAAACTAGAGAAATAGACATCAATCTGGTGGCAGTGGGAAAAGCTACAGGAATCGAAAAGCAAAAGAAATATACCTCTCCCAATCATGGAGCAGGGCGTTGCTAATCCACAGCAAGAAATTACTTCTCAGTATGCACACTTGGGATTGTGCTACAAATTCTTACTCTCTACAGAAACTTGCTCACCATTACTGAACTTCTCATGAAGGCTCAGGTTTGCAAGCCACAACTTTAGAGTGATATCTGCACTACCGTTCAGTTGCTTTTTTCCAGGCTGAAGCCCCTTGAATGATGTGCTTGCAAATACTTTGCATTATTCTGCTGGCTACAACGAAGGTGTGGGCCACTGACCATGACGAGTGCAGATGTGAAGAGAGAATTAATACCTGCATTGTCCGTGATGGAGTGCCGGGAGCTAACGGCCTGCCAGGGAGAGATGGGTTGCCAGGACCGAAAGGTGAAAAGGGAGAACAAGGTACAGTCCTATTAACCCACTAATGTGGCCAGGAAGACTGGACAGGGTTTTTGTTTTTTTTCTTTCTCACAGTGAAATTGATGTCAGCTCATGTTCAGCATTTACTGCAATGCATATTAACCTCTTATCTAGGTATACAGAAGGGGTACAATTGAAATAAGGCTGTTAAGAAAGCCAACACTGAAGTCCAACCAGAGCACTTGCAGGTTGTTTGTGAGTTAACCCATGGCTTGTGTGTGGTCTCTGTCTTATGCTCTAACAGTCCAGTGTATGAAACAGGTTGCTAGAAAGACAAGGGGAAAGATTTTTGAGATACACACTCCATGGTTTTTTTAAATCTTCACTCTCCAACGATGGCCTGAACCATCCCGTCATGATAGAACCCCTTGCTTTCTTCCTGGATGGGAGAAAAAATGCCCAGTTTGGACTACTTGACTGTTTGCCTCAAAGATGCTGACATAACAGCTTGAAGTACTTCAGAGGCATGGAATAAGAAAGTGGAACACAATGTAACTTCCCTATATTTAATGGGGTTTGCAGTGTCAGCCACTTTCAGAAAGTTTGCTGTGCTGTGTTTGTGCCTCTTTCTGTGAGGTATTAAATGCTGCAGTCACAAGCTTTCTCAGCGCCAGGAAATTCTGCTGCATAACTACTTCTGTCTGTTGCTTCCGCCCATCCAACACATGGGATGGCCAGGATTACGAGGGATCCAAGGTCCCCCAGGGAAAGCTGGACCTCCGGGGCCAAAAGGAGATCGTGGTCCCTCAGGAGACAAAGCATCAACTGACAGTGTCCATGCTGGTAGGTACCCCAAGACTGGTGGGTTGGTTTTGCTGAAACTAAATTGGAAGAATAGCATATGAAGAAAGCCGGGCTTGGAATGTCCCTGATGTATGAGCCTAAAGTAAATCTTCTGGTATGAGCCTAAAGCAGACAGGCAAAAAGATGATGTGACTATCCTCCACTAGCCATTTTTAACCATTTCTTTCCCTGCCCCGATGATGCCACAAGTGTGCGCATGCACGCACGCACGCACACACGCACCCATCCTGAAGGTGGTATTTGTCTCTGGAGAGAAGCTGCTATGGGTTCTCTTCTGGAACAAACAATGGTGGGCGACAGGGTGGAATTTTCATTAATATTGCAGCAGGAGATAAAGGGGTTAGAAAGCTGTCCAAGGCCAACTCGAGGTTTGAGCGGGGCCCAGGCTACATGGTCTCTGGTGGGACCCCTCCTCTGCCTTGGGTCTGGGGGTCCCAGCTCTCCCATGTTACAATCTGCTCAGGAGGAGGAGGCAGTGGAAGGGTAGAGTTGGGCAGGTGTCCTCGGAGTTTCAAGGTTACCTAGTGAAGAATTTCAGGCGCAGCATTAGAACCACCCTGCCTTGAAAAGGGAAGGAGACATTTCAGAGCTGGTGTGGGGGTGATGGAGAAGGAGCTTATTGATCCAGCCAGGAGATAGCAGGCAATTCAAGCAGGCCAATAATGAAGCGTCCAGCATTCTTACCATCTCTTGTGAGCAGGGCTGCTATTGAAGCATACCAAGGTAAATGGGCAGGTAATGTAAGGTTTAGTTTGACCTTAGGAAATATTTTAAGGATAACAATACCACTTTCTTGTTCAGAGTTGGAACAGCTGAAAACTCAAATGAAGTTACTGGAAGCACGGATTCAGGCGTCGCAAGGAGCCACGACCTCCAAGAAAGGTAACTTGCAGGGTTAACAGAGGACAGGAGATGATACAATTTGACTGAATGTGGAAGGTGATTGAGTCCGTTCTTCTTGTTACTGGATGAGACCTTTTCACTCTCTAATTTGTGCTATGCGGAGGGGCAGTGTTGAGTAGAACAGATGGTCACGTTGATGGGCATCCAAGTCAGATTCATTCCCCAGAGATGCAAACATTTAAAGGTTACTTGCCAGGTAAATCTAGAATAATAAAATGAAACTAAATTTAGCATACATCTGAAATTTGGTGGATTAACCATGCAATCCTAGCTACTCAAAAGTAAGTTCCATGGTGTTCAGTAGGTAAGTGGGTATAGAATTGTAGCCTACAATCACAAGGAAGTCGCTTTTGGAAACAGTGAATATATTGAGTAAATAGAACAGCTGTATTTCCTGGAACTATTCCAAGTTTCTCAACATCTTGCTATTTTGAATTTAGCAGTTTTAAAGGAGTTTTAGCAGCTAATGGAGACTGAATACTTCACATTTGAATCTGAATTTATCTATTTGCACATGTTTGAAACAAGGTGAAGAGAATGTTAAATGTATCTTGGTCTGATTCTGCACAACATTATATTCCTATCCTTCCAAATGCATGCTTCTCTCCGTTTTATAACAGGGCTATCCAATTTCAAAAATGCATACAAAATGTGTATATTATGGAAAAGGGGACATCAAAATGTATGCCTTAGAGAGAATAATATTCAAAAGTTCATGGCATTAGGAATATTGCTTGCAAAATTATGTGTATAAGGCAAAAATGCATAAAATGCATGTATTAAGAGAGACCAAATGTGTATATATGTTCATGAGAATTAAAGTATTCTGACAGCTTCAGACAAACTGAACTTAAATTGGAAACATTCTCAAAGTTAGGAATGAATTGAACTGAAGATTGGAAAAATGAAAAACTAAGAGAATCCAAATTTGACCAGTTCATCCATCCATAATTTAAGCCATTTTGTCAGATTTAACTTTTCACACTAATGGGGCAGAGTGTCTCCTTCATTGCTTGGAATTTCGCTTCAAGCTTCTTTCCAGCTCTGTTGCTGCTGCAGCAGCACCTGCTGGCCCTTTGCTCACAGTTGCACTGCTTCATGGATTTTTGGCTCAATACTCATTTCATCTTCCCATAATCCTGTAGATTTGCCAAAACGATGAGTATAAAAGGGTTTATTGTTATTTTAAGATTGCATTCATTTTCATTATTCAAACACTTTACGTTTCATTAAGATTGCACTTGGACCATATTTGGTTAGTGCGTAATTTAGGGTGTGGCTGATATTTATGCTCATACTGTCTTTCTTATTTTACTGACTGATGGTAAACCATTTTGGGAGCATTTACTTGGCTGAGGGGTGGAATAAAAACACAGTAAATGGATAAATACTTCTTCCTGTCCTATCTGCATTGTTGCTGGGACAAAGCAGACCCTGACAGCTCTTCTTCTTCTTTTTTTAAGATTTTTATTAAGATTTTTAAACTACTACTAAAAACATCAATCATCAAATACATTGGATGTACTGGGTCAGCCCCCTACTACATATTTTTTAACATTCCATAATCATAATTAAATCCATTTATAACAACTTAAAGACATCTTTAAATCTAAGCCAAATCCCGTTTCTCCAGCCAATAATAAAAAAGTTCCCAAGTTTGATAGAAATCCTGACAGCTTTTCTTGAGGGCACTCTGGGGAAAATGTAAATGTTATTAATTCTAGGACAAATGCAAATTTAACAAAACAGTCCCCATTTTATGCCGGTCCCAAAATGAATGCAACCTCCAACAAAAAATCTACCGATTGCGTATTCAGCAACTCTAGCAAATTAAGGCAGTGTAGCGATGACTGAGGAGTTCATTTGGGCCCGACAGAATGTTAAAAGTAGTATCTACAAGTGCGACCTCAAACCAAATGGGTCCTGAAAGGGGGCAGCAGGGAACCTGTAATCCTTTGCTATATGCCCCAAGTGCAATTCGGTTTTGTGAAATAAGTTTTGGATCTCTTTGTAACATTTTAGTTCCTCCTGGTGTGAGAGTTGGTGAAAAAACATTCAGCCCGTATTACAGGCATGGCTACGATGGTGCAAAATTCCTGTGCGAGCAGAATGGTGGCACGGTCGCCTCTCCAAGGAATGCTGCTGAGAACAGAGCACTGCAGCAACTAGTGAAAGCACAGAAGAAAAGCGCAATTCTTGGAATAAATGATAGAGAAGTAGAAGGCTCATTCCGGTATCCAAGTGGAGAAAACATTTCATTCACAAACTGGGCACCGAATGAACCAAACAATTCAAATAATGAGGACTGTGTACAACTGTTAGACAATGGATTTTGGAATGATAATTCATGTGATGGAGATTATCTATTTATTTGCGAATATTAATCCAAATGTCATTGAAAGGTCCAGCATTGGTCCTGTGTTTTACATATTTTAATGATGACTCCCACACAAATTCATTGTCAATTAGGCGTCTGCCTAACTGGTGATTAAATTTAGTTTAAAATAGATTTGTGTAATTATTGTTTTCTCTGGTGTTTTCTGATACTTTCTGGCTGAGTTCAGACAACACAAGAAGCATGGTGGTTTTTTATCATTGTCGCTCTGTCATGTTGTCTGAAGCCACTCATGGTAAATTTCCTAATTTTGCGATGTTTTTATTGTATGTTTATGGTATGTTTTCATTAGCTGTTGTAAAGCACCAGGAGAGCTTCAGCTGTGGGGACATATAAAAATGAAATTAAAATATTATTATTTTAATCCTCCATGGGAAATCTAGTCTTTAGAAGCCATTTTAAGAAACAAGACTTTGCTCTGAGAGTTCTGAGCAAATGAGAAAGAGATTCCCATTTGAGCCAGCGATGCAGAAAGACAGCTGAGCTAGGAGTTCCAAGCTTTCAAAGTTTGAAGGGTTCTTCTCTGGAAATCTGGTACATGTGAGTAGCAAATCTGCTACTGTGCTAAGGGACTTGTGTTCTCTACCACCACCACTGTGCTACGTGTGTGTGTGTGTGTGTGTGTGTGTGTGTGTAAATAAAATATGGCAGAAACACCTTAAGTCTTCAGTCATCTCTCCTTCCTAAGAACCCAAATTCAGGTAAGTCCAAAAGCACCTGGAACTTCACATTGCATGAGGACATGAGGAATACCTAGCAATAGGAATGAAGATAAGGAACTTATTTAGAGATAAATACAAGTCCTACAGCTCCGGGAACCCCACCCCCAGCTATCCCAGTTGCCTGCAGAATGCTAGGAGTTGGTGAACATTTTCCCCATCCGAACCTGCATAGGATTACATTCTTAGAGTATCACATTCTTTAAGCAGTCATTTGTTACTCCTCTCCTTTTGAGAGGAGTAATCAAGTAAGGGTCCCAGCTCCTGGGGGTGAGCTCTTTGGCACTCATAGGGAAAGTGGGTGTTGGGGAAGGAGGGTGTCCTGAAGAAGAGGGAAATGATCCCATTCCTTGGAAGCTGAGCATGTAACCTCTCCCACGGAAGATATGATTCCAAGAGGTGTGTCATGTGCATGTGCTTGGAGGAGATTCCCAGGCACACTGGAGAGATGGAGGGCTTTGGAGGGAATGGTGGCTCAGACTCACAGGAGGGGGAGTGGATCCAGCAGTGGCTCGGAATTCTCACTCTGATATTGGAGTTGTTGAGACTAGCCCAGCTGCCCAACCCCTGAGCCCCCTCCCACTCCAGAAGGTGGGAAAGAAGCTGGCAGGGAACAGGCTGGGGAGAGGTTTTTGGGAGGAGAACCTGACATCCCTGGAGACGTGGACACAAGGGCCCATCAACTCACCCACTGGCTAGACCAATTAGGGGCTCAATGGGAAGAACATCACCATGCCCGCTTCCATATTCCGCCTCCCTCCAGAGACCAGCCCCAAAGGGTTCATAAGCAAAGCTTTGGGTGAAGGAGCAGAGTGAGGGGTCAACATTCCACCTGGTGTGTTTGTTTCAAGGCTTGTGGATACGTTGTTTCTGTACAGAATAAAGACTCTTCCAATAATTGCTGAAGTGCCTGTCATTTGGGAGGGGACGCCTTGCTCATAACAAGGTGGCAGGCTTCTGCTGGAGGGACCTTTGGTCATTAGGAACTAGAAAGCTGGGTTTGCAGTGGAAGTGTCAACTGCATGGTGAACAGCCTGCCTAGCATAAAAGCTGCAGGTAACAGCATGCCATCTAGGTAGCCTTCTAGTTAGCATGGGAGTGGAACCTGTGGTTTATTGGTACCAATGATATGGAAAGGTGTAATCACAAGGTCCTGGGAATTTGCTGTGGACACTAAACTTTTTAGGTTGGTTAAAACCAAAAGGGAATGTGCGGGTTTCCAAAGGATCTCTCCAAGCTGGGAGAACAGGCATCAAATACCACATGCAGTTCAATGCAGGAAAGAGTGGGGTCATGCAGCTGGGGCAAAAAGTCACAACTTCAAGTATTCACTGGTGGGATCTGAACTAAAGTGACTGAACAAGAAAGGGATCTTGGGATACTGGTGGGCAACGCAATGAAAATGTTGACCCACTGCTCAACTGCTGTGAAGAAGGCAAACTCCATGCTAGACATCCTTAGGAATGGAACAGAAGATAGAACTGCCAAAACCTTGCTTCCCTTATACATTTTGTTGGTGCAACCTCAACTTAATATTGTGTTCAGTTCTGATCACCTTACCTGAAAAAGGACATTATTGGGTGCTAAAAAATACAGAGAAATCTTGGATATTTTAGAATATTATGAGATACATACTGAAAAACCAATGGCTTTATTGTTTTTAGACGCCCAAAAAGCCTTTGATAATGTTAATTGGCAGTTTATGGAACAACAGATGATTCAAATGGAGTTTGGTGAAAGATTTATGAATGCGATATCAAGTATTTATCAAAAGCAATCAGCCAGGATCTTAATTAATGGAGAACTTTCAAACCCTATAGAAATTCAAAAGGGCACAAGACAAGGATGTCCTCTGTCACCCCTCTTGTTCCTTATGATTTTAGAGGTACTGAATAGATGTGTTAGGGATGACGAGGACATCAAAGGAACTAGAATTAGGGACGAAAGTTATAAATTGCAAGAATTTGCGGATGATCTGGTTTTTAAAACGGAGGAACCTTTCTCAGCAATGCCCAAACTTGTACAATGGATTGAAGAATATGGTGAAGTAACGGGAATGAAAATAAATAGAGAAAAAACAAAATTGTTAGTTAAAAACCTTACGCGAGAACAAAAAGAAAGACTCCAGGAACAAGTAGATTTGCAGATTGTTAAAAAGGTTAAATACTTGGGAATCTATCTTACAGCTAAATGTACTACCTTGAAAGAAGATAATTATGATAAATTATTGAAGGATATTAAAGGCTTTTTGGAAAAATGGGCCAATTTACAAATATCTTTGATGGGAAGAACAGCACTTGTCAAAATGAATATATTACCTAAACTTTTGTTTCTGTTTCAAATGATTCCCGTAAAAATTGATAAAAAATTCTTTGATGACTTAAACTTTCATATCTCGAGATTTATCTGGAGAAAAAAGAAACCAAGGATTAAATTAAAAATGCTTCAGGAAGATAAAAGGAATGGAGGTTTTGGTCTTCCTGACCAGATGTTGTATTATCAAGCATCTGTTTTAACTTGGCTAAAAGAATGGGTAACGTTGCGAAATAAGAGAATTTTGTATCTTGAAGGTCATGACTTGCAAATGGGATGGCATGCTTATATGTGGTATGAAAAAGCTAAGTCACATGGGTCCTTCCTGAGTCATTTTATTAGAAGATCTTTAATGTCAGTGTGGGAAAAACTAAAGCTAAAAGTGTATAATAAATTACCAAGATGGCTTTCACCTATGGAAGCTTTAGTATATCCAAATGTATTGAACTTTGAAAAGATCATAAGATATGGCAATATCCTAGATAAATATGGTGGTCTGAAACTGGAGCAAGAAATACAAGAACAGGGACTTAATATTTCCTGGTGGTATAAGGTGCAGATGCAATCAAGATATGTCAAGGATTGTAAAACATGGGGGTTCTATAGAGACCTAACAGAATTTGATCAAGTGATGCTTAAAACAGATGAGAAAATTATTAAAAGACTATATGATTTTTTACTTGACAGGGAAATGGAAGGGGAACAGGTTAAGGAAACTATGATAACATGGGCACAAAACTTTGGATTTAATGTTGAACTATAAAAGTGGCAAAAACTATGGGAAAGAAACATTAAAGTAACTTTAGCAACTTCGTATAAAGAAAACTTATATAAAATGTTCTATAGATGGTATTTGTCACCAAGTCAACTAGCTAAGATGTTTCCAAATATGTCAAATAGATGTTGGAAATGTAAACATAAAGTGGGTACTTTTTATCATATGTGGTGGACTTGTGACAACGCAAAAAAGTACTGGATTAAAATACATAGATGGATGGAGGAAATATTACAAAAACCCTTTGCTTTTAAACCCAAAGTTTTCTTGTTAGGCATTATACCGGATGATGTTAACAGACAGGAAATCTATTTGATGTTGCATCTAATTACAGCAGCGAGGTTTGCATTTGCTCAATATTGGAAAAGTGAGGAGCTGCCCACCGATGGATTGATTCTAAGACAGATCTTGGACTGTGCAGAAATGGATAGACTGACTTTATCGTTGAAGGAGAAAGAGGATACTGATTCTATCGAACTTGGGACTCTTTTTATAATTGGCTGGAGAAACGGGACTTGGTGTAAATTTAGAGATGTTTTTCAAACTATGATAAACTAACTGGAATTTGATATTAGAATGTTAAAAAATATGTAGTAGGAGGTTGACCCAGTGAATCCAATGTTTGTGATGTTTGATTTTTTATTTTTTTAGTGTTAGTTTAAAAATCTTAATAAAACATATTAAAAAAATACAGAGAAGATCAGGGGACTGGATATGGCAACTGGGACTGTTCAGCTTAGAAAAAAGGCAAGTTGGGGAGACATGATAGGTGTGTTTAAAATAATGCATGGTGCAGAGAGGGAGACATTTTTTCTCTCTCCCATGACACTTGAACCCAAGATCACCCCGTGAAGCTGACTGGTGGGAGGTTTAGGGCAGAGATCATTAACTGAGGCTTATGCGAATAGGGTGGCGTACAAGAACTCCCAATCATCATCGTCTGTGGAATTTGCTGCCATGGGAAGTAGTGATGGCTGCCAATCTGGATGACTTTAAAAGGGATTGGACAGATTCATGAGAGAGTAGGCTATGGGTGGCTACTGGCCTTGCTGGCTATGTGCCACCTCCATGTCTGCATGCCCCAGTTGCCGAGGAGCTTGGGCAGGAGGAGGCCTTGCACCCATCCTGCGGGAGGGACCCTGCGGGCAGCTGGTTGGCCACCGGTGAGCAGAGTCCTGGACTAGGTAGACCTTTGGTCTGATCCAGGAGAGCTTTTCATATGTTCTTGTGTTTCGTTCAGTTTGTACAAAATACCATGCACATCTTTCTTTTAAATAAAATTAAACTCTTCAAGTACATTCAGTTAAGAAGGACAAATGCGTTTGCAGCCCTGCGAGGAAAAATACTAAAAATAATATCTGATATGGCAATAGTTCAAGTCTACTTCATTTGCTATCTGATCATTCCTAGTTGGGTGGGAAATTAAGACATTTGAGGCTGGAGAGAGTAGATAAGTTGGCAGTTTGATGAGAAGTTATCGCAATGTAGAAGAAGAATATGTGCACACACCATGGGAAGAGGAATGTTTCTCAAATAACTCACAACTCTCTTAAAAGCGTGGCTGCAGATTAATCTTCTGCAAAGCTTTCTTGGAACACCTGCGATTCCACAGAGGCTGCACGCTGGTCCATTCATCTTGACTTGGGGAAATTCTGATTGCTTGAGCAAGTGTGTGCACAACATTGCTTTATCCCGCCTCCTGTTTCGTTTCACCATAAGCACTTAGAAGAACGGTTATTTTAAACCTATCAGAAGGTGAATGATGAATTATCATTTTGGATAAGACTACCAAGGGTTATGGATCCTGCACTGTTATGATTCCTACTATGCCAGCAAATCTGTTTACTGGAAGAAATAGTTTTGGAGGAGCGGGGATCTTAAAGGGCAGGTACAAAATGTGCTTTTATTTTCCAGCAAGTTGGTTGGGAAAGAGATTAATCCTTGAGCACTGCATGCAGTACCAGTAAATGGTGAAGTACAAAGTCCAATTTTGCAATCCACAGACTAGTTAAGAGCTGAGATAAAATAAACACAACTCTCTGGGTGATGCTGCAGATGTTTTCCTCTTCATTCTAAGCGGAGGAGAAAGCAACTGCTTTCTTAGCCAGTCTTCCTTTCTTCTGTCAGTTGCTTCAGTTGATCAAGGAACCACACTAGGAACTGGTAAGTAAAGCTAGTTTACATTAATGGTGAATGAAAACTATCCTTTTGCTTTTTCAACTCCTCCAGTTTTACAAGGTAGTTTTTATTCAGCTGCTGGTCCCCCATTAACATGATAAACTTGAATAAAAAGATAATGTTTCTTGATATTTGAAAGTTTGGGGTTGTACAACCAATCAATATAGGGGATGAAAGTTTTAAACAGTGAGTAGAGTAGATTAATTATATGTTTAATTGATTCATTGTTGGTGTCTAATGTTAATTACTGAGAAAGGGTTTAAACTGAGTTATGCATTAAAATCGTACTTCTTTTAGGACTCAGTTAACTTTGATGTGTAACAGCAGGACTATAATTTTTATTTATTCAATTAGAAGTTACCACAAACTCCTTTCAGTATTAAAAGAAGCATTCCTCCCAAAAATTGGCTAATTTACACATTTTAAAAGATTATGATTGATACATCAATGAATTGGTTTAAAAGTAGAATATTCATAAACTAAGCATTTGTTAATTGGTTGGCCCTAACATTCTTTTAATGGTCTTGGTTGAATTGTTGTAATTGTCAATTTGTTATTTGTATTTTAATGATGGTTTTTAATTATCTGCTTATGATTTTATTGTCGAACACTGCCTGGAGTGTCTATTTGAACTACTCTGTAGCTTGTAAATAAATAAATAATCAAGTAAGTAACATGTTTCTGCAGAACATAACTGAAATTTGATATATACTTGATCCTAGCTTCTAAGCATCTCACCCTTCTTACATGGGTGAAAATAACCATAGGATTGCACGGAGCTAGTTCTACTGTACACGCTGGTACCGCTCCAAGCCAATACAACCGAGTCTCTACAGGACATTGTTGCAGGTTCTAAGGAAATAGTTGATGGAGCCTTATTGAAATTGCTTGGAAGGCTGCTGAAAACTGAATGAACTTTCCCTAAATTGAAATAGCATTTTTGTGAATGCCAAGTGAGCTTAACATTTTTGTTTCCCCATTAATGAGTGAAAAATATTATATCAGCTATAAAGAATTGAAAAGCCCACCTGAATATAGAAATGTGTTGAATAAGGTATAAGCATCCGGATATTTTTAATGTTGCATTGTCTTCTCAAAATGTACAATTTTGAGATACATGCCTAAAACATGTATTTTAATCTCATAGGGTTTAGGACAGTGAGTCCAATTAATGAGACAGTAGATAGAATCACAGAATCATAGAAAAGTAGAGTTGAAGGGGCCATGAAGGCCATTGAGTTGAACCCCCTGCTGTTGCAGGACACCACGTTCCACCATCTCACTCAGATGGCTGCCCAGTTTCTACTTGAAAGTCTCCAGTGTGGAGAGCCTACCACCTTTCTAGTGGGAAAGGTTTTCCTGATGGCCAGCCTGAATCTGGGTTGTTGCAACTTGAATTGATTATTCGGTATCCTACACTCTGGCATCAGCAAGAAGAGATCTTGACCTTCTTCTTTGTGACAGCCCTTGAGGTACTTATAGAGGGATCTCATGTCCTGCCTCAGTCTTCTCTTCTCAAGGCTGAACATGCCCAGTTCTCTCAGCCTCTTCTCATAGGGGAGTGTTTCCATATGCTGGATCATTTCTGCTGCCCTCCTCTGGACCCTTTCCAATTTTCCTGCATCTTTCTTAAATCTTGGTGCCCAGAACTGGACTCAGTATTCCAGGTGAGGTCTGAGTACAGAGGAACTACTACTTCTCGTTATTTGGACTAAATAGTGGCATATAGCAATATCTCAGATTTTTTTAAGAGGCTGGATTGTTCATGGCATGCCCCTCTTGCCAGCAGAAGCACCCAAAGGTGCTCAGTCACTGTCTTGTTGGTGTTACATCTGAACGAGGAACTGCAGCTTCTCTTTTTCTCTAACAACAAGCTGTAACTCAGGGTTTGTAATTCAAGGTTTGTTCTCTTATTGTCCATTAGAAGAGGCAAAACACATCACTGTGCATCCTGCCAGCTTTCTAAGGAGGGATCTGTGCTTGAGCCCCTTCCATATATTGGGAAACATTCTCGTGGTAAAAAGCAAAATGCATTTATCATCATCACAGAGGCATCTGCTGTGTTGAAACATGATCTTGTGTCATGTACAAATGCAATTGCAGAAGAAGCAGGGGTTGGAAAGGTGCAGGGAAGTGGTCTTTTAAGTTTAATTGGGGGGTGGGGGGCAGTTATAGCTTGCTTAAGCTGATGTGCCCAATAATACAGAAGTCCAACAGAGCACTACTTCATTGCAGCATCCCACTAAAGCCAGAACAGTACCATAAGTTTAACACTGGTTGAAATAGGTACCACAGGAAAAAGACATCATACGCATGAAAGAAGGTGGAGCCTAACGGCAGAAATAGCATGTGAGTTCCTTGAAAAGAAAAGAAAAGAAAAGAAAAGAAAAGAAAAGAAAAGAAAAGAAAAGAAAAGGATGAGATATAAACATAAATAAATAGCATGAGGAAGTCAGTTTGGTGTCTACATCACATGGCACCCCGGTGCATCAAACTAGTAAAAAACCCCCACTGGAGACACCCCTCCCCAAGACGTTCATTTTGAATCACCAAAACAGAGTCTTAACATGCAACGTAGCAAAATGGCCACAACCTGTACAAATGCATATCAGAGCAATCTCGTCTCAACTCGTTCTCTATCTAAGGTGTCAGCAATGGATCTTCTCCAGCTTTTTGATGTCCTGCTGCTGGGAACAGCACTGGTACTGTCCTTGCTTTCCGGAACATGCAGAAGTCAAGAAAACACTTGCACTGTGATGGCATGTGGCAACCCCGGACTCAATGGATTACCTGGAAGAGATGGGAAAGATGGTGCCAAAGGAGAGAAGGGAGATCCAGGTATCATCTTCTGGGCCATGTATAGTAGGAGGGATATGAGAAAGGGAGTTCCTCCTGCTATACATGATTGTATAGCAGGAGGAACACAAGCCATGGTGATGGTTTGCAATGACTTCAGTTCTCCACCTGTTGGATATGGCTGCATTGCATTCCCATGTCAAGGTAAGCAAACCTGCACAGTTTCCATGGTGTACAGTCTTTGCCTGGATAAGCTTGACGAATGATCAAGTGGTTCCAAGGCTACCATGGTTTCCACCTTCCCCACTCAGTCCTCCTGCTGTTGGCACATCTCCCATCAACCACACTTGAAATTCGCCTGGTTGATGGAGCAGCTCCTGCAGCTACCACTCTTTCTAGGAGGACTCTGTAGTAACTGCATACTAGGGTTCTGGAAACCATGATGCTGAGTTTGGATGACTGGAACCATGGTGGAGTGTGAAAACCATAGAACTGATCATTGTTTCTTATTGTGATTTCTAAAACCCAAATCTACCATGCTGAAATACTATGACAGAGTTCAGATGACACAGCAGACCATCCTGTGCAAGAAACCACCATGGTTTATTGTGGCTTGTGAACCAACCCGTAATGTAGGACATATCACTTTGATGTAGTCTCCAGATGCAGGTTGACACAGGTTGTCCACCACTGATTTAGAGAAACAATGTTTCCCGCAGAGACACCCACTGTGAGTGGAAGAGTAGGATGTCAAGATGGTTTTTTCTCAGTGGATGTTTGGAGGAACACAGTCGAAGAGAGATTTCTTCTCATTAAACTCTAGGAATTCAAGTGAAAGGCCAACAGGGTTTTCCTGGGAAGGCTGGGCCTCCGGGATCACCTGGGATTCAAGGACCCCCAGGCCAGAAAGGCCAAAAGGGAGATGCCGCAGGTAAGACTTGGATTCTTTCTTGCTGAGTTCTACCTACAGTAGGGTCCTGCTACCTATGATACACAAGTGTGCACAATGCTACCCTGCAGGAGAGGGAACAGATTAAGCAGTATTCACTCCAAACCACTGTGCCTACATCATCCAAAGAACCTGCCTACGCCTTCAGTCCAAGTCAGTGCTAGCAGTTATGACAGCAGGAATGGGTGCTCCAAAAGCATCAGATCCGTTTCCTCGTGCTAGCTCATGACTGATGGGCACACAGAAATTCTTCTAGCACTCTTCTTAGAAAATTGTAGGCAGCATCCATGCAGTCTTGCTCCCCATGCCTGGGGACGCATGGGACCTTCCATGGGCTCATGAAAGTGCCACTTATTTCAACTGGCACCTCCACATGGTTACCATGTCAAGAGCCATTCTGAGTTCAGTGGTTCAGCATCACTGGAAGAGGGATGATTGTGGATATCCTAACATAGTGGTGAGTTCCCAAAAACAGTCTCTCCATGAGAACCTGGCCCAGTGCTTCCTCACAGGCAATCACACAAAGCAGGTGTGGGCAACTTTGGGGAGTCTGGTAGCCCAGTGCAACCCCTCAGACCTGCCTACGAGGGCACACCTTGCTGTTATCACCAATGTTCACACCACAGCACTAGCAAAGCAATCAGCCACTTCCCACCAGAGCTCGGCTGTGCAGTGATAGAGACTGGAATGGGCCTGATTTAATTTTCTTTAGAGATGCATTGGACCTTTTCAGCCTCCATCACTTTGCATTCCTGAGATTTCTCAGCAAACCATCAACTGCTTTGCAACTGTTCCATCATCAGAGTATCACTACTATTCAACAGCATGGCTAGTGAGGGCCACATGCTGCCCTGGGGTATTTGTTGTCCTCCCCTGCAGAGAGATTGCTGGTTGTATCTGAAATTTGGAAACTTTCTGTGGATCATCCTCCATCAGTCAAGCTCAGCTCAAAGAAATAGAATACTTCCAACTCCCCAGGCAGCTTTATCCACTGCTGAACTGCTCTTATAATCTGGTTAAATATTAATCAAGAATGATTGTAAAAACAACTGCAATGAAGACAAGTAACTACAGATAGCACAGAGCAAGGAACTTATATTAGTGTGGGTGAAAATTCTCTGTTTAAAGAAAATTTATGCTTATTTTGTTTCCCTGTTTCCAATTTCCTTCCCCTTAGCCGTTAATGATATTCAAAGGCAAGTAACTGCTTTGGAAAAGAACATTCAGACTCTTCAAGCTGATCTTAGCAAACACAAGAAGGGTGAGCCCAGATGTGTATTTCCAGTGCTTTCCTTTTAACTATATTTTAAGACTTGTGTATGTGTGCGTTTGAGAGAAAAAGAAACAGGTGAACCACATGGTAAGCAGTGTAGAAGTTCTACTATATTGTGTCCATAGCTTATTTCTTAGTCAACAGCCCTCTTCACACACCCACCTAGAAACGTGGAAGCTACTTCCATGTGATGCCATTACACCCTGCAGGGTTCTGTGTGTGAATGATGTAACACCATGAATCAGATGGTGCATTTCATGGAGCTTCCACACACCATGAGCAAGGCCATCTCCCAGAAGAATGGTGCCAGTCTGTCAAAGGAAAGCCAACATGGACCACCCACTCCCATTCAGAGGCCTGGTTTACACATGCCCCTGCAGCATCGGACTGCAACTTCCCTTGCTGATGGATCGCAGGAGAGTTCCTCAAGTAGGTTTGCTCAGCGCCATCGGTCTGCTGAGCATGGCACTGACAAGGGAGAGAAAGAGGAGGCAAGAACAGTGGTGTGAGCAAATGGCTGCGTGTGAATAGGGCAGGATCCATCCCAGGTTAAGTCCCACTTTCCCTGATTTCAGCAGGAATGTTCCACATGTGGTCAACTCTGTGTCATTGAAATCAGAGGCCATTTGGCTAGAACATCTTCATGGGTGATGTGGACCAGCTTTGATATAGATGTCGAGTCCCCGTGAGCTTGATTTCTTTTCAGTGTCTCTCGTCTTAAGTCTTTTTCTTTGGCTCTAGTTTTGTTGATGCAGGGAGCAATGAGTGTTGGTGGGAAAACCTTTGTTTCAACTGGTCAGTATCACACTTTCTCGGGTGGAAAAGTCCTGTGTGAAAAAGCTGGTGGAGCACTTGCCACTCCAAGGAACGTGGCTGAGAACACAGCCTTGAAAGATATTGTGAAGAGAAAGTCAGAGTATGCTTTTCTTGCAATAAATGACATCCAGACAGAGGGTAGATTTGTGTACCTGGATGGAACACCTGTGAATTACAAAAACTGGAACCGTGGGGAGCCAAATGACCTGGATAATGAAGACTGTGCTATACTGCATGAAGATGGACTATGGAACGACATTGACTGTGCACGTAAAGCACTGATAATTTGTGAGATTTAACCTATTTACAAAGAACCCTTAACTACAGGGAACATGTGCCATATTTGGCTGCATGGCTGTCTAGCAGAGGGGCCTTCATCCCTTTTGGATCTGTGGACATATTTGGGAATTGGAGACATGCTGTAAGCTTCAGGATCTCCTGCATTCCCACCGTCTAGCCCTCAGTTTGCAAGAGCCTCCCCAAAGGTGGACTCAGAAGTTTTGCTAAAAGGAAGGGGCAGAGGGGAAATGTCAATCTGGACTCAACTCTTCGCATGGACTGATGGTTCTCCCACCACTCTGGTAGAAGCCTTCTTTGATGTACGCTGTTTTGTAACCAGATAAGTTTCAGTAAAGAACAATGCCTCTAAGTTTTTCTTTTAAGGTTGAAGGGTGAGGGAAAGAAGAAGGTGACCTTCACATGACAGATGCCCTGGTGATTAAGGATCCTGGGCCAGCTCTCAGCTGTCCTGTTTCAAGCCTACCGGCACCTTAGACCCAGATGCACGGCTGTTAATAAAACAAGAGCTCACCTCTCCTCCTCTGCTTCCCCCAGCAAACCGAAGTCAATGGCACAGAGAGAGGAAACAGGGAAATCCAGTTGTGTGACTTGTTTTGGCAAATGTGGGGATGTGGGAATGCTATTTCACCAGCTGCTGTCCAGCCCTCAACTCCCTTCATTCCACCCTGAAGAGGATTTTTTTATAAGCAGAGGACAAATTCATGGCAAATGGATTGACAGCCATGAAAGCTAAATAGAAGCTCCATTTTCAGAAGCAGCTCCAAATGTTAATGGTGGCAGGCAAACCACAATGGAAAACACTTGTTCCGCGTCCTTTAGGGAATGCTGGACTCTTAGAAGATCTCATATTCTTAGAAGTATAGATCACACAGACATATTTAGCACCACCACCATTAAATTCTATGTTCTCAATCAACTTTCCACCTCTTTTGTGCTGAACAATGGAGTACCACATTATTTTCTCCCATAGCTTTCTCCAAAACTGATCTAGCTGACCCAGAAAGGGATGTGTGCAAAACAAGCAAAAGTGAGCAATGCTAAACATGTATATGCTATCTGGTTATAAACTAGCAAGCTGAATGTTCTACTATTGAATGCTCTTCGGTGATTCTATGCAGCTGGACAACTGTCCAAGAGGGATGCTTGAGCTTGGAGTCCTGCACTGAGCAGGGGGTAGGACCCAATGGCCCTCTGGCCCCTTCCAACTCTATGTTTCTAGAATTCTATGTCCCAATATTCACTGAAACCTTGGAAAGTACTCCATCCACAGGCCAGCAGTTCTGATGGAGAATGCGGAACCTTGAAGCATTCAGCTCTTGGGATTAAACTTCCATGAAATGTTTAAGAGCACAATCCGATGCATGTTTAGACAGAAAAAAGGTCCGACAATTCCCAAAATTCCTCCGGCCAACAACATGCAGATAGAGATGAAAGCAGTGCTGTCGTCCAGTGGAAGGACCCCAGCATAACCAACGTCATCTGCTGCATGGTTGAAAAAACTCTTCTGCCATCAACACAGCGAATGCTGATCGAGTGATTGTATTTAAGGTGCCTTTAGGGCTGCACATTAGATTAGATCACATGTCGCTGACTCTTCTGAATGGTGCTTCATGAATCCTAACAAAAACATTTCATTACTGCAAGGAAGCACATTAGCATTGTAGAGGTAGATGATGCTGTAATGATTCCAATAAATAAAACACACAGCTCCAAATTGCATGAAGACAGTTCGGGCAGACAGAAACACTTGCTGGGAAAGACAGCTAGGAAGAGACAAGTTTTTCAGGTCCATTTGAAATCTTGTACTTTTCTGTAAGGGCCAAGTGTACTTTATATGGAAGGAATTCCACAGTCATGAGGGTAAAATCGGGAATTCTGTCTAAACAGCTTTCCCTAAGCCCATGAGAAGTGAGATTTCTAGGCACAGCACTGCATCCATCATACCCATTATTCGATAATCATTTTTCATTTACAAATATGCAATAGAACATGCTTTGAGCAAACTTTGATTCTTTATCTTTAAAGCATAATTGAGCAGAACAACCTTGTAAATGCAGGACACCTTCAAATTGAAGATGCTCCTGTGCCATCCCTGAAAATTGACCACTGTCTTCTGTTAAAGACAAAAAGGGCACCTGTCCACTCCAAGATGCTCCCATTGAGCTGCTCCCAAGGTGTCATGAGCTGGGCGTCCCCTCCCAAATGAGACCAAGCACTTCAGCAATTATTGGAAGAGTCTTTATTCCATACAGCAACAACATACGCACAAGCCTCGAAACACACACTCCAGGTGGAAAGTTGACCCCTCGCTCTGACCCGCTTCACCCAAAGCTCTGTTTATGAACCCCTTGGGGCCGTTCACTGGAGGGGGGCGCACTATGGAAATGGGCTCTCCGACACTCTTCCCATTGAGTTTCTAACTGGTCCAGCCAGCAAGTCTGCCAATGGGCCCTTGTGTCCACATCTCCAGGGGTGTCAAGCTCTCCTCCCAAGAACCCCTCCCCAGCCCGTACCCTGCCATCTTCTTTCCCACCATCTGGAGTGGGAAGGTGCTCAGTGATGGTCCTTGAAGCGCTTGGATCCAGAGCTGCTTGGGCTGGCTCACCGGGAGGGTTTCGGCAGCCGAGGCCTCGCTAGTCTCAACAACTCCCATATCAGAGTGAGAACTCTGAGCCATGGCTGGTTCAGCTCTCCACTCCCCCTCCTCTGAGTCTGAGCCAGCATACCCTCCAGTGCCCTCCATCTCCCATGCACACCCGGGAATCTCACCTGAGTGCGCATGCACAACACAAGGTCCCATTCAGGTAATGTTGCTAGATTATCTCACACCAGAACTTTGGCACAGTGGCTTGACTACCATGGAGTGCTCACCCGATGCAAAGGATTTTGGGTCTCTATTGTGATGGACCCTTCCCACCTTCCCTCTGGTTCTACAACTCAAGGCAATCCTTTAAAAAATGCAATTCCTCTTTATTTAGACTCTGCAGATAACAGAGCAGTTTGAGCTCCAAATAGTCTTCTACCCAAATGGAAAAGAGACCCCTCTGCTCATGTAAATAGTTGAATGCAAACTGGAAACTCTCCCTTGATCCCTCCTTTCCAGGGAAATGTCTGGCTCCACCCTCGAGGGGCTCTCCCTGAGGTCCAGATGGTGCAAACAGCGAAACGCCTCCCAATCGAACAGCTTGCTCTCCCTCCTTTCCTGAAAATCCCCTTCCCTTTTCCAAATGGGTTGATCTCAGACTTGGTCTGAGAAATTTCACCTTGAAGGAGCTGCAGAGGCTTCTCCCACCCACGCTGCTCCCCCTCCTCCTCAAGATCCTCAGATGACTCTCCCAGTCTGCCACATGTGTGAGAGACTGGCCACTCTCCACTGTCTCCTTCTACGGTGCATTCACAAATAAAATCAGTTGGGCTTCAGTGTGCCCCCCAGAAACCCATCGTACCTCAAGCTCCCAAGCAACCATGCATTGTGGGAAACATTCCATACTGAAGGGCAAGCTGTCTTTCAGGGATGTGTGCCTGCCATTGCCATTAAGGAACCCCAAATAAGCCTTCAAAGAATTCTGAGGTTTCCTAGAAGTATCTTCTGAAAATCCCTGCTCTAGGTACTTCCCAATATTTGCATAAGAACTTGATCTGTTTCTACCTTTAATATATTACCTATTACACTATCTCATATTGCATCTAGTTTGTGATAATGGCATTCCTTTCACATAGATCAGGAGGAGAAGAGCAATATTATGCAGGAAGAAATGCAATTTGGGCACTGAAAAATAACAGGGATTAACTGAATGCAAATGGTACATTTTCTGATATATATTATATTTTTCCAAACATTTCTCTGTGTAATTCTGATGAAAGATTATGTCTTTATAGTCAGTAATTGGTGTTTCAGAGGTATAAAAAAGACCATTAAAAGTCTGACAGGGTATTTTGACTGGATATTTATATGAAAAAGCAGATGATACCTGTAAATAAAAAACTGCACTCTGCATTCCATTACAGCACAATATTTTTGAATCTATTCCCCATTTAACAAGTAATGCATTCTGGAGATGCAGCATTGAAGTTTAAATCTATTTAAGCAAAGTTGGAAGCAAATGCAGAGCTTTTTTGGGGTAGAATCTCTCTATGGGCATTGCAGAGAAGCCAAAAAAATATTCCCATTAAGCCAGACCATATTTAGGATAGATCCTGATGTGGCCAAGACACAGCAGTCACATTTCTGGCTTCTAGAATGATGGGGGTGGAAGCCCAGCATGTCTTCACAGCACCAAGTAGAGGAAGGCTGGTCTAATGGCTGCAAAAGGCTTGCAGGGGCCCCATCCTGCCTCTGCTCAGTTAGCATCTATCAGATCGTGCTGTGATGTTATTTAAAGAGAAGTTCTTGACCTTGTTTGCAATGAGTCACACATATCACACATTTGTTTGGGCATATGTGCAGTTGCTTGGTGTTTAGTGGAATGGGTGTCCTGGGGCTCATTTTATTATTTTTCGTCAAAAAAATATCATCAGAGTTGTTGTAGTCGCATCGCAGTTTTTCTTTCATTTCAGCTCTACAGAAATATTTCCAAGGCCTGGCACAAGAATGTTTGTTTCTTCTTATGGTACTGTTTTGTGCTCCCCACTTCGCCAAGGGATGAAAAGTTCCTTCCAGGGGCATTAATTACCTGGTG